GAAGGAAGGTGGCACCCAAGCACCCATGGACCTTCGCTCCCAGCAGATCAAATAGGAAATAAGAAAAAGAGAGAAAGGTTTGGGGGAGATTTCTGAGAAACAGCACCTGGCAGTGCTGGAGCAGGAGGCTAGGTAAGGATGGAGGTGAGAAGGAAAGGAAGGATCAGAAATATTCTTGGGAGAACAAGTAAACCTGGAGATGATTAAGAGAAAGCAGAACTGGGAAGAGGAGAGTTTAGTGGTCAGAAGACTGGTGAACGGGCCATGTCAATGTCATTCATCATTATCAACTGCCAAGTTTGGAGTTTTGATATCTATTTTTGAGTTCTGGAGGCAAAAAATACCTAGGAATTTTGTACATAACAGAATATAGGTATTAGGCTTGCCTAATCCAGCAAGACCTGAAAAAAAGTCTAAATTTCCCTAAGCAGTTCACTTCCACACTCAAATCAGGCACAAGACAGCATCACATTACAAAAAAAAAAAAGAAAAAAAAATCATTCTAAGATGAGCGAAACCTGGAATAGGCAGTATCTGTCAGCATGTTGGGCTTGCTTTTGGCCATAAGGTAGTAAGTAACATCGGCCACATTCCTGGCTGTCGAGGAGTTTGGCTTTCTGCTCCCCACTGTGCCATTAACCTGGGTTGTTTGTGAGCTGCTTCACTGCGCCTCAGTGCCTCTCTTGCGAGTGGGGGCTATGTGATATTCCCCATATTTATGTGTCTCTTTTATATGGTGATTTGGAGCATGCAGGGTACGAGTGAAAAATCATTTGTTGTTAAGATTAGCGCTGACATGCTGTAGGCACAATAGCTACTGAAAAGCCATTCTCACTTAATAAGCTGCTTAATTACCTGAGCATATTGGGGACGAGGCTGTAGATGGAAAGCGTAGATATAATAATTAGGAGGCAGATAATTGCCTAAACGCAGCTGTGCGACTGCCGCAGCGGCTGCGGTGCAGCGAGTGCAGGCAGGCGGGCTGGGAAGTCCCTGCCATTAGAAAAAGAAATGGCCGAGGCAAATATTTTGGAAAAGCCATGGAAGACGGGAAAAGGAAGAGCCTGACTGAAGTGAGACAGTCCATGATGCGTGTGGCTGGTGCAAGGAGGGAGCTGCCATTGGAGGTGCTGCCTGCGCGCGACGCCATTCAGGGTGGTGAGGTGAGCTGAGGGTGAGGCGTCAGCTTCAGCTCCAGATTTTTATTCTCACTGCTGGAGCCTACAGTTATTAAAAGAACAAACACAGTCGTGACATCCTAGGGGACTGGCACGCTCATAAATGAGGCACTGCATGTGCATGGCTCCATGTGCTGCCTGCTTTTTATTTTAACTAGGTTTGCTGCAGCTGTTGCTCTGAAAAGAACCACTCAACACTCTGGGGAAAAGAGGCGCTGCAGAAATCCTCAAATTAGTATCCATTAGGAAGAATAACTTTTAAATAAATTGCTTGTTTATGTGGTTAAAACTCTCATCTCTTGCGTAGGAGCAAGGATCTGTCTTGCTAGTCCTAGACCTTTCCTAGCTCCCAGCAAATCAATTAATAGTGCAATAAAAAAATAAATAACAGCTTATTCTTCCTCTGCCTCTAGTCCTTCACAACGGTGATAATCTATTTTCATGGTAGCTTGGGATACAAATGCTTTCTGAGGAACAGAGGCTGGTAGTCTTTAAATGTAAGTGATTTTCAGATTGGCTCTTATTAAAATATTTGAAACATCAGACAACTCCCCATTAGTTATTATCTGTGCACATGAATTTCCAGCTCCCAGTCTTTTAGCTGACTAATACCAGTGCCTATCCATATATTAAGTGGATTTTTTTTTTTTTGCCATTTTAGCTTCCCTGTTGTCAAGGCACAGTACATTGTGGAACCTGTAGTGTAGAGTGGAATCGGCAGAAACAAAAACCAGATCCTCCTGTTCCAAAAACATGGGCATTAACCTTGGAGCAGGTCCTCTAACTACCTCATTGGCCTCCAAACCTGTGCTGCCTCACTGCAGCTTTGCTTCCAGGCTTGGCAGCTCCCCTTCTGTCCTCAGCTTGCTTTTTCACATTCCCTCACTGTTGTATCCATAACTGAGCATGGTAGTACCCAAAAACATTACCTGTAACACACATAGGTTAAAAAAAAATAGCATCTGGGCGTTCAGAGACTTGGTTCTCACAGCTCAATAATTCACAAGATTGTAGAGGATTTTTTTATAGAAAAAATAAAAGCCTTGGAAGTAAATTAAGAATGATATAAAATATAGGCTTATTAAAGGTAGATTTTTGTCAAGCTAGCCTGTTAATGTCCTGAGATGACAGTTGATTTCTTAGGCAAGGGAATTGCAGCAGATCTGTTGATCTTAGTAAACTGCTCCCAAATAAAGTAGGTGTGAAGGTTTGGAATAAAGGAAGAATTGCAGAGCTGATAAGGAACTGGCCAGTGAAAAATGAGGTCGTGCTGAAAAGGGAAACTCTGGGCTAGGGGAAGGTCATTACACTGACGTCTTTTAAGGTTTTCACCTAAGAACTTTGCTGCCAAAACTGCGAGTTTGTCCCTGACGTTTGCTATTGACCCAGCAGAGGTGCTATGGGTTACTATATGCACAAAAGAAGAGGGGTCTTGGGGACTATTTTACAAATAGTGGTGGCAATTAGGAGACTTTGGTATTTATCAGATCAAAGTGCAAGGGCATGCCAGGAAGAAGCAGTTTACCTGCTGGCACAGTTGCAGCTCTAACCATCTGCTTAAGCTATGCCTGCAAAAAATGTAGGCGTGTTTTTGCCTTTTTCTGGGGATCTGAGTTGGAAGCAGTTCTGACCCAGCAGGTGCAGAGGAAACATGCACTGGCGTTGGTTTTCGCTCTTTTTGAGGAGAAGCAGCAAAACATCATTTTTCTTCAGTGAGTGCATTCTCGTGCAGGGGGTGACTCGCTCGAGCCTTGGCTTTGCTAACAGGGCTAGTGAAAACATGAAAATGTAGAGTAAGGAAATTGGAAGTTCTCTTTGAGTAAACATTAGGACCACAATCAGCCAGTTTATTTTTCCAGTAAGTAGTACTTGCTTTCTTTTTATGGTTCGATGTCTTGTGATGGTTTGGAAATTATAGCTATGATGATGTTATTGAAAGTATTCATGGTGCAAAGACTTTGGATGGGAATGTAATAGACAATAAATTGACAAGGTAATAAAAGGAAATCCTGAAATGCTTAGGTATTAAACTCTGGTGGAGGTACCTTTATTCATCAGTTTATATAACATCTGTCATATGCACTAAGTAGCTACTTTGCTGTGAAAGAGGCAGAAAGTTATCTTAGAAGCTTCCAGTTGTTTAATTTTTGATTCAGTAACTTAGACAAACCTGCCACATCATCGAGCTTTTGACTAAGCTGAGGACCTGCTCAGAGGTGTGATATTTTTTACAGAGCAGCTAATGCGTGTGCAGCGTACTTGCCTGTCTACTTGGTGAATAGTGGAAATCTTGGAGAATGTTAAGAGCAGCATGAACAATGGAGTAATTTGAGTTTATGGGTTCTAGACAAGACCGAGCTTAAAAAAATAGGCCTAACTTTGCCATCAAAAAGCCTGATTTCAGTAGAAATGTTTTGCAGCGCAGTGTGAAGCAAATGCAAAAGGGAAGAGAGTGGTCCTCCTTGGGAAAATATCAAGCGAGCAAGCAAAAACACCTTTTTGTTGTTTATATCTGCCAGAGTTCTGGCTAAGTAATGCTCCAGCTGCGTACAGCTTCACTCAGGTGGCTGCAGTATCATGCTGGATCTTGAAGGTGGCAGCAAGCAAAGCCTGTGCCTTCTGCTCATCTCACGATTCTTCATTCAACCTGTTGTGAGAGGTAAGACAGGCCGTTCTGCTCCATTTCAGGTGTCCAGATGTTTCTCAAACAGAACATGTTCAGAAACCCAGACGAAAAAGTGAATCAAGAGTGGAGGGCAATGCTGTGGCCCACGTCTAAAGTGCAAAGGTCGCAGCTTCATGGGTAGCTGCATATAGAAAACAAAATCTCTGTAGAGAGAGCAGCTGCTGGAGTCTGCAGAGCACCAAGGAGTTGGGTTGTGGGTGCAGAAGCTGGAGGCAGTGGCTCTCTCCTCACCTGCCTGAAGTGCTAAAATCCCCTGTCCTTCTGGCATCCCTAGTGTGCACTTTATTAGAATGTTCAATATTGTAAAATTCGCGCATTAATCCTGAGTATCCCTATAACCTGGGTAAGGATAGAATCAGTTTCTATGGTACAGATGAAAAGCAAAAATCATTGGATTACTGTACTGATGCACGCAGTAAAAAAAAAATCATATGGGGAAATCGGTAATTGATTGGAGCATAAATATCAAAACCTCAGCTTATACCTCTGACTATTTGATTCCTGCCATAGTGTCTTATAGAACCTAGGATCTCTGCTGAATAGTGCGACATTTCATTACTTTGGATTTGCTGTGATGAATAATATTTGATGCTATTGGCCTAGAAGAAATATTACTATAGTAACTAGCTTGTGATTCATTTCTGATGTTTCTTTTTGCTATATTTCCTAGGGGATGCATGTCTGGAGTAAGAATGTTTACACTAATTCTTGGTAACGGTAATTAATTTTTCCCAAAGTGCTAAAAATACATGGCTGATCTACACAACAACAATTCTTTGATATTGCTTTTTTAAAAGCACTTCAGGCCAATAACATTTTTAATATTGTAAGGAGTTAGTTTTATTTGACACTTTTTATTAGGAACTTTCTGTGTTGTTAGTGTGAGTTTTAGTGACCTAATGCTGGATTCCCACAGCAATAGTGCTACAACTCTAATGAAATCTTTAGACATAGAAAAAAGAAAATATACATGGAGTAGGTTAAGTTAAATAAAAGTAATGATCTTACCTATTCCTCATGACAGTCAAAAGGAAATTTGGTGTAAGTGATGTATTAGTATTTTATATTTTGGATTAGTGCATATTTAATTCCTTATGATGATTCTTATGGGTTACTACTCATCAGGCACATATTGGCAAATATTTTTAGGAAAATTCCTTATGCTGACTAGAAAGAAGTATTAGGTTAATGTCCATTTATTGAAGCATGTATAGAGCTTTTTGTGCATTTACTGCATTCTTGTTTTTGTTATGGAAGAAAATCTTGGTTTTTTTTTTTTTTTTTAATTAGCTCATCATCTTTGTCGAAATGTGCTGGACTAAAATTAGAATTCATAGATACTCAGAATTCAGATAAAATGCACAGAAGGACCATGTTAAAGAGGTGCCATTTAAGAATAGTTAAAATTATCTTGAATGCGATGAGTATACACAGACATAAGTTTCTGTAAGCATATTTTCTATTTAAAATTTGCATGCTAGAGCCCTGAAATTACTCATCCATAATGAGGTAAATTGTAGCTTTCTATCTGCGGAAGGCTGGTTAAACACTTGAACAAACTCTGATTTCAAGTTCCAATCCGTTCTGCCTACCAGGTGATTTGAACTGGGCTCAGCACGCAAGTCTTATTCAAAAATTAACTATCCAGTTTGGGATGTTTGCTGCAGGGAGGCTATGGGGCTTCTTCTATTATAAATTGTTTTTATCCACCCTGAGTTACCCCTTGGGGTTACCCCTTGCCTTTTATTTAAGTGACATTAGGTTCAGAGTACTGAGAGGCTCAAGGAACACCACACGACACTTAATAAATTGTGCAGCCAGTCCTGTTAGCTTACAAAAGGCTGGAGACAACAACTGCTTCTGGCATTATAAATGAAATGGCTTATTTAGGAAGAAGACATTACTATATTAATTGCAAGAAGAACTTATGATTAAAAGGGCAGACTTGTGCGGTGTCAATACTAATTAGAATAAACTCTTTTTCAGAAAGGAAAAGAAGGCATCTTTTTAGTTTCTTTTGTGTTTAGAAAAGGGCTCTTCTAATTGTATTCTGGGCCATCTTCTCTTTCCAGTGGGTGTAAGTGGTTTTTCTTCATGCATGAGCCTCACAGAGGTGACACAGAAAGGAGACTGAACCAGGATTCACATGCAGAATTAAAAATTGTGATCACCTCTGCAGGTGGAAAAGCTGCCTCTTTTCCTGCTGTGTTTCCCTTGGGAGTAGGGTTCGAGGTGGAGCCTTTCCCTGGATGTTTGTGAGTTAGGTGTGAGTGGGCATCTCGCTGATGAAGGTGCCGATTTCTAAGTTCATTTCCCTGCCAATGCGAGCTGAGTACTCGGCACGTCCCTCCCTGCCTTATTGCAGGGGTTTGGGACAGCTCAGTGGGTATAAATATAGATAAGCCTGTCACCAGTGCTCCAGCACGGGCAAGGGGAATAGGCATATTTGTCAATGAACAGGTTGCAAATTTACAGATGTCATAAAACTCTCTTTGACAAAGCAATAGTCTGTTAATAGAGATACCCATGCTGAAACACCGATAAGGGATATTTTATTAAGGCTCTGAGCTGATTTAAGAGTCTGCTGTTTGAGTTTGCAGATGGGAGGAAGAATATACCTAATAAGATGAGGAGCTGTAATTTTAATTCAAGACTGAGCAGGATTTGGAAACCTGTGGCGTTTTGTCAGATAACTGCTGGCTTCCAATATTTCAGGCTTTTCATCAGAGACCAGATGAATCATTATATGTTAGAGAATATATAATGCAGAATTATAGCAATAGGCTCCGTTCAAATGGATTGTAATGCTTCATTATCCACCTAAAGCAGAACATTGCTTATTTTTCCTTTTTTTTTGATTCAATTGCCATCATTTTTACCATTTTTTCCTGCTTACAGTACCCAGTAATTTGGTTTTTTTTTTTTTTTTAAAAACTATATAAAATGCTTGTGTTTTATCCAGGATAAAAGCACTCTTGTTTTGTGATGACCTTGTACAGGTCCAGCTGTGGAAAGATGGTAACTACCACAAGGGAAATACACTCTGTGTCAGCTGCATGTTCTACTGGTGACGAAGCAGTCTTGTGTCTATGAGTCACATCAGTGCGCTGTTGTTTTCTGTTTCACATGGTATATGCCTTAAAGGTATAGAAAATACCTGAAAGTTGGATTAAATATTAAATAGTTTTAATTCTAAAATACTCAGTTTCAGCAGTAATGGAGCAGTCTTTACTTTGGGGGTTTAAAACCATGCAATAGCATCCCATTAAATTGCTACTAGTGATGCAATGTTCATTATGGTGATGTCTGCTGATCTTGGTACATTTTTACTGTTAGAGATAACATCAAAATCTGGTCCTTCATTCGACAGGCATGCTGTATCACTTTTCCCAATAGATACTGATGATTTTGTAAGCACAAAAAGAAAAGTCCAGGAGACAAAGTAAAACTTCATTTTTTTTTTTCATCTGGAAAGACTTGCTGAAAGGGTTATTAACATACAGAAATCCCTCTTAGTTCTAAAATGATTTCTGACTTATTTGATATATTCTTTCCTGCAAGATAACAAGATAACACTTTCCTGCTATAACCTGAAAGATTATGTTTCCCATTTACATATTTTTTACAGTTCTTTTCAAAGACTTTATCTTGTGGCTATGCCTGAAAAAATTTTTGGTTGGTTTCATCAGCTTCTGAAGTGACCAAAGTGAAAGATGCCCAGTCTATGTTGAGATTGCTCCTGCCATTATAAAAATAATATATCACAAGTTTGAATAGTTGCTGCTAAAATTATAGCTTTGATAAAGGAACTGAAAACATTAGGAAGAAAAGATATGATCTACTTAGCTGTCGTGTATTTTATCACGTGTGTGTAATTATCCTTTTTTACATCATAGGCTGAAACTGAACTAAACAAGAGCATATGGAACGGATTACTATGCAAAGGGTCTGAGCTTGGTCTCATCAAGGACAAGTGGTAATGACCGCTTCGAAAAGCTTGGGAGATGCTCAGCACCTTGGCCAAACATCTCCTTGCCTCCTCCTTATCATCATCATCACTGCAGAGTAGGAGGAAGGAGATGATCATGGGATCATAACCAGCATTGGTCATTGCATCCATGCAAGTGACTCCCACTCATTTTAGCAGGACTGAGATTTGGTCCTTGTTGGTATCTGGGGAGAAAAAAAGCAGGGTTAGGATTTTGTTTGCTTCGCCTTTGCGGACCCGCTGTAAGAAGTTACTGTACTGCATGTGCAGTCGTGCTACCCAGCTTCTCCCTGAGACTTTTGACCTCTTCCTTTCTTCAGGAGCAAACGAACGGACACGCTGCCAGGAACGGTGACACTGTGCTGCTGTCATGGGTCACGTCTTATGCAGCTGCTGAAGAACAGGGCTTCCCTGGCTACTGAGTGTGCAGAAGCCACAGGGTGCATCATTTCATTTTGACGCTGATCTTCCAGTTCCTTCTTGGGAATTGCTGTTGGGGCATAGAAATGCCTGCTCACAAACGGAGCTGGAGAAAGGGAAGCTGGAGAGATCAGTTGACTGCAGAAATATCCCCACAAGGAATGAAAACCTTTGCCTATGAAAGGTCACCAGCAAAGTGGCAGGAGAACCACGGAATTAGGTCACACAAGGGAAAAACATTATTGCCTTTTATGTAGGGTTTTGTGCTGACAGGTCAGAAATCTCTAACTTTGCCTATTTTATTTAATGAAAATTGAGGAAATAAGCTGGGCTCACTTTTTGCCCTGCAAATGGTGCGTGACCTCAACCTCTTTCCTTCTCTGTGGCAGGGCCCTAGTGCTCTTTTCCTGGGGGTAGTTAGTAAGCAAAGCGCGTACTTCAAGGTGGGCTATAATATTCTTTGTGCATCTGCAAATTCTGAGATTACTTGCGGTTAAAACAAAGTCAAGCTCAATGTCACGTTATCCCCTGGTTTAATGGAAAAAAATAATTGAGATCGTCACTGGCAGTATTGAACGATGTGGTTTGGGTGCCTGGAACAGAAGCAGCTTCCCTTTAATCTCCGATAAAAATGGCAGCCTCTCTCTGTTATTAAGTGTTCTCCACAGTATATAATCCCATCAGCGTAATGACCATGTTTCTCCTTATTCATCGCATTAGCGCACGGGTGTGTTTGGGTGATTTGTGCTGGAGCTGTGCGGCCTCCGGCTCTTGCGATAAACTTGCCTGCCTGAAGGAGCAAAACTGCATGGGAGCAGATGCTCCGGTGCTGCATCCGCAGCGCGTGGGGAGGAGGCACTGGTGACACCCCGGGCAGCTGCGCAGGGCAGCTGGGGGCTCTTTCTGCAGCCCCTGGCACGGGTATTCATTGGGAGTGAGGTATTCGGGTAGACGGATGCTCAAATGCCAGAGCCTGTTGTCACCCCAGCGCTCTCCAGTCCTGCCACAGCTTCGCCCCCAGCCCTGCAGCGGAGGTGGGACTTGCCCTGGGGACACTGGGATGCATTTTGAACAGGAACATCCTCATTCCCCCTGACTCTGCTATGGAAACTCTTCTTGTTTAGTGTGCAGGAGACAGTGGAGGCTCGTGGCCTCTGCTCTGTTAAAGACAACACATTAAAGCCACGGCATGGTTTTCAAACCTTCCAGGCATCTCTCCCATCAGTATTAATTGCCTTTCCCACTAAGCCTGTTGCAGTTATTTGCTCTTCTGATATGCAGCACTTGTTTGATACTGCACTCAACCTTTGTTGCTTAGCAGTAAGAAAAGCTTCAGTTTATGTAAATGCATTGAAATGAGCTTGATACAGTGCTAAACGGTCACATGTTTTGATTGCAACTCTTGAGTTTTTGTTATTGGGGAAGATTAAATAGCAAACCTTGAAAAAGCAAGCCTGTGAACGAACACTGCTTGACTGTGTCTCTGTCTGACCCAGGGTTTGACGAGCTACATGCGTGCGCTGATCCCGGAGTGCCCGAGCACGGATACAAGACGCCCAGCGCCGGCGTTTTCTTTGAAAGCGTGGTGGTCCGGTTTCATTGCCAGGAAGGATACCGGCTTAATGGTACTTCAAAAAAACTCTGTGTGAAACACTTTAATGGCTCCCTGAGCTGGAAGCCAAGCGATAAACCTGTGTGCCTACAAGAAGGTAAGTCCATTTCGTTAAAGCAGTTTGCTGGTGTTGTTGGGCTCACTCCTGCATGTGCCACGTCTGTGTGTCTCAGCCCCAAACACCAAAGGCTCTATGGAGCCCATTTCACAGGATCCTATTTGGTACATTTTTGAGTTTCCCATCCATAATTCCCGTCCTTGAATCCATCCATCTGTCAAGTACATGGTGAGAAGTAATGTGTGCATGTGTGTGTTGGAAGGGCCATAAGGGAGCCTAATAATAAAAAGACAAAAATTTTCTCCTTTAGTTAGTTATAAGTTGATGCAGAGAGGAAAAACAGCCTCCAGTATTAATAATCTGTTTGTAACTATTTGTTAGAGCTGTCGGCTTGGTATTCCTTTCTCTAATATCTTACTAGGAAAATGTCATTAATTTCCATCACCACTAACCTTTCAAACCAGGGGATTTAAACAACAATTTTTATTACGTGTGCATAATTCATGTAGGAGAATCAAATATGCATGGACTGTAGTCATTTAGAGTCACGGCTGAAGTTGACTTTGAGATGATTCAGACTGTTGTGCCATAAAACAACTGGATTTTTAGTGTGTTTCATTTTTGAAAGTGTATCTGGTTTTAAGGAATTAGGATATTACCTTACTTTAGTCTTCTGGGTTTGATAGAAACAAGATGAGTCTTAATATTGTGAAAGTAAATTTTTGCCCCAAATGTGTCCAAACCAGCTATGTATTTCAGCAAGCTTATTAAAGCAATAACTTATTATTTACATCATTTTATTTTTGGTCCATGGAGCTATTAAAAACAAGGGACATGTAAATCAAGTGTGCATGTTTCAGTGTTGGAACTTCTCCATTGAAGTCGTTAGCAATTTTTCTAATTGCTTTCAGGGTGGAACAAGATAAATTCTATGTCTGGAGGTTTTCCATCGTTTAAATGAAAAAAAAAAAACAGACTTTATTCAAAAGCAGTAGTCAAAGATTCGTGTAGCTTGTAACCACAATAACTTTGAAGCATGTGCAGATCTGGAAGTGTTTGCTCATGGAGATGTGTGTAAATACGAGAACCTGGTGCTTATGCCCAGGGCATGTGAGGGCAGGTGCCCCAGATGGAGCACGCAGGAGTGGGGAGCGCCTGCTCAGTGCACAGGCATGACGGGGGCAGCCCTGAAGTGTCCCCTCTGGGAAAGCAAGGCATGAAATATTTGAGAGAGCAGCCAGAGTGGGACGGTAAGAAGTGCGTGGTCATTCGGGTAGCTGCAATGTTGGTTGGAGAAGTCTTGGTAAAATCAGGCCTCCCGGGCAGGTGGGAAGCCGTGGGGCTGTGATGGATGCAATCTTGAGCCAGCCTGTGGCACACGCTGAGATTACAGCTGATTTAGAGGGTGTAAAGGCAGCCTGCAGCAGTGACACCTGCTTTCAGTTACGCTGCCTGATGGCGCAAAGGTTAAGGTCCATAAGTTGTTGTCTGCAAGAGCAGTAAAGCATGGGGCTTTTCTGGGGCCCAAGACCATGGGCTCATGGATGAGTATAATGAAAGAACCCACTGAAAAACTAACTAAGGATTACTCAGAGGTCAGAGAGGGGTGGTAGGGTGAGATGGAGTCAAATTCAGCTGCTGGAGGGAAGACTGTGAGCAAGGGGGACAGAGGGCTGTCCCAGCCTGAAGAGCAGGGTCAAGGAGATGAGCAATGGAGGGCCAGCATGGAACTTGTTAGGCAGAGTGCAACGCTCTGTCCTAGCAGGAGGAGGAGGCATCTGCAGAGAAATTACCCAAGTAGGGCAGTCAAAAGGGGAACAAAAAGTTCATGTGCCCCTTAGAAGCACATCTCTAGTCCACATGCCCACACACATAATCAGGCTGATAAAAGGGGGGAAAGGGTATCAGGGCACTGGTTCTTCAGAGCATCAGTGTTTAACCCTGTGCCCTACAGTGCCAAGGTGACAAATATTCATTTGATAACCTCAAGAAGTAGTGGTGAAGCGACTGAGATAGTCTCCTGAATCAATCTTCTGCCAAGGAGACGCTTAAAAGTCAAGGCCGTACTGTTTCCTCTGATGCCATGTTAAGGCTCTGGATTCAAGGACCTCATTATAACTCTGCAGGTGGAAGGATTAATAGGACATTTTCACTACAGTAAATAACCCCATATTGAGCTGATAAAGCAAGAGTGCCGTCTTCTAGCCCATTGCTTCAGCCACTTTGAAGGGTGGCAAGGGCAACTCCAAAGAAGCAGCCTATTGCTTTTAAATATAATGTCCATGAGATTCACTTCCTCTCCTACTGTAGCCACTTATGATACATGTCATTGTTTCTCACCCAATAGTTAAGAAAAAAAATACATGTAGCATGACTGCAGAAGAGTATGTCCCAACTTGGTGCTAGAGCTTTAGAGAAAAGCTATAATGCTTGTAATTTTTTTTTAACAGATAGCTTCTGAAAATCTTTGCTTTGGAAATAGTATGTGTATCATCCATTGCAGTTGTTAAAATAGGCTTTAATATGCTTTATTCAGACCATTTCCCTGCAACCTCCACTCATCTAGTGGAAATCTGGATGATGTTTGGGATCACAAGACCATCAGAAACAAAACTGCTATTAATGTTGGTGTGATTAACACCTGATCGTGGCAATTTTAAAAGAGAAAGGAATTGGAATATAAGTGTGTGATGGGCAATGTGACAAGAGGTGCTGAAGAGACAGTCACTGATTTACAGTGTTGAGCACTTGAAAAGAATTGCAAGTCAGTTGTCTGATCAAGCCAAGCACTTAAGCTTGAGTGTGACTCTAATTATGTGATTAGTCATGTTCAAGTTCTGTGCTTAAAATCAAGCATGCATGTAAATGTTTTTTTTTTTTTTTTTTATTTGGACTCAGGAGTAGGACCTTGATCTAGGATTCACTGAAGCAAGTGCATAGGTACTTCCCTGGCTAACAGTGCTTCCCTCAGGTACTATTAAAAAATCCTAGGATTTAGCAATAGAGAGAGCAAGAAAAAAGAAACTATTTAGATGGACTTAATTTTTGTTGTCAGTGTAAAACCTAACCACTGATTCATATGAAATATGAATCCCAGGTTCAATGGCAATTCATGAGACTTAAGAATTCAGGTGCTTTCCAGAACCTGGTCCTTCTGTAGTCTGGGAGCAGCAGGTCGTGAGGGTTGAGCATGGCCGTGAAGGAGCAGTTACAGAGCAATTGCAACAGCTTTCGTGGTTCTCTGTACTCCAGTGACGTAAGGGAAAGCCTCCTCTGCTGCAGTTGCATAATGGTTTGTACAGAAATTTGCAGTGAGTGGTGGTGAAGTTAGAAGTTCATGTCTTAGCCTTTGCCATCTAGCTGGATGAGGTGAACTAACCTTTGTGTCATATTTACTCATTTAAGGCAGAAGCGGTTGCTGTGTTTGCTGTGGTGTACTACACATGGCTCTGGTACCATTACAGTGCCTGTAAATGTCAGATACTGCCATCTGGGCAGTTAAAATATTTATTTTATAGTAGAACTAGTATTATTGAGCTGGAGCATTGAGAACACTCAATATTTGCAATTCATTTGGAGTTAATTTCAAGAGTTTGGATTCAATAGTGGATAGTTACATATAGTTTTATATCTAAAAGTACCTATAATTGTTTTTATCTGTTTATTAGATCAATCTCTAATGGCAAAATAATCCTATCCTATGTGAACTGTCACCCATTGTAGAATGTGATTGATTTAAAAACGAATAAATTTACCTGGAGATTCTAGTCCCACCAGTTTGATTTTATAGGTCTGTCCTTTCTCATTAAGAGGCAGGAGATTTTACATGTCAGTACAAGGATGAAGTTGCATGAGTAAGTGCTTGGTAAATGCACTGTCAAAATGCACTGTACTTGGACTTATGTTCTTGTGTTGATCTACGGCACATGCTTGTAACTCCATAACGTCTAATGCGGTTATACACATGAATACCAATGCTCTGAGGCAGGAATTTCCTATTTACTGTTTCAGAGCAAGATATCAGGTTGTTCACACTTTAACCTGTCTTCTCCCACTGCGATAATGTGGCAGCTGAGACTGTTGCCACATTTGGAGGCCCTGGGAGGCTGAATCCGAATGCGCAGCCTGCCTGGGGACCGCAAAGTGAGCTAGGAGTGGGGCCCCTTCCCAGTCGGAAGCCTTGGAGGAGCCTTGGAGGTATCCTCAGCCTCTGCTCCCCACTGGGATGACAAACAATCTGGCATCCACAGAACGATGCTACTAACACAGCAGTATGGATTTAATATGACTTTAAAAAAGGAAATAGATGATATAAAGCATTCGTGTTGGCCTTCAAGGGGGTAAGGTCATGTCAGGTGAGCTTTCAGCATGTTCTTCGCACTGTTTCTGTCCTCCCTCCTCCTCCTCCCCAGCCCTCTCCACGCCAGCAAGCAGACGTGGTGCCTGGATGCCGCTGAGCTGCTCCACAGGGAAGTTCAGAGACTCTCCCGGGGAGCCGTGGTACCCGGTGTGGGATGCAGGATGGTGCCTGGAGGAGGAGGAGCAGGTTCACAGCTAGGGCCTGCTTTTGGCAGCCCCTTTTTAATATTCACACAATAGATACAAGCCCATCGTGTAAAACTGGCAGAAGATAGTGGCAGTCATAGGCACAGCTATTTGATGCTGCTTAAGGGCCATGTACACCATTAAATGGCTTAGCAGTTACCACGGATTTGCTGAAAAGTACTTAGAATAAAACAGTTCCTTATCTAGGACAAGACATTTTTAAAACACAACCACTTATTCTCAGCTTCCCTAAAAAGAGTCTGCACCAGCTTACATGGTGCCTTGTAGAGAGGAGACTCCTGCAATTTATTCATGGGTAAGTGCTAAATAGTACAAATGCAGCCAGCAGGAAACAATTTGTCCATAAGACATGGGGAAAGACAGCTGGAAGGAGAGCTGTGGATGCACTAGTGCCCTCTTTATCCTGCTCTTGTAATAGGCCTGTTATCAAAGGCAGCTGGGATGCAGCAAGTGAGGGACAGTGGAGCAAGCAACTTGTCACTGCTGCCTGCCACCATCCATCTGATTAAAACGATCCAATCTCAAGCCGTGGTTTGGGGTAATGGGAACGAAGCCACCGTGATGCTTTGTTGTTGCAGGATCCGCTTCCCCTGCGTTGGAAATGAGAGCTCCTCTATTCCTGCAGTGTGCAGAGCCGTGTCCCGTGTGCACGGCGCTTCCCTGGACCTGGAAAAACTGCAATAGAAAAACTGCTCCTGGCTGCAGGTTTTCAGGATGCCTGGGAGCGCTGCAGGAGCTGCCTCCTGCCCACCCTCAACAGGGCCCAGAGCAGCAAGGGCCATGATGACATGTTCAGCTAAGAGGATGCCCAAGGCTCACTCTAAAACCTGGCTAAATACAATGTATTTCAGAGGAGGGGAAAAAAATCACACCTGCAATGTGAAGGCACAAAGAGAAATAAGTTTCAGCTGGGGAAGCAGCATGTTCCCACTTTGCATCCGTCAACCGTAGTGGTTTGCAGAATAATAGATCACCTCACTTGCCTAAATAAAGAAATACAGTATGAAATATATTTTTATTAGGAGGCTGCCTGTGCTATGCTAAATTACAGCTTATCTTGCTTGGAAGTTCTGCTGCTAACAAATAAGCTGCGTGAAAGCAAGCTGCTGCTGTTACTTTACTTTGTGTGTGCTCATGATTAATTGCTAAATACAAGGTCAGAGTCACCCTTACCTCTGGGAACAGTTACCCCTGGAATTAGCCTAAACTTTCCCTCGTATGCCAGTCTCAAGGCACTTCAGAAACCTCTTTTTTTTTTTTTTTTTGTAGTGTAAGTGTTGCAAAAATGGTATGAAACAGGTTTACAATGTCATTATTCTCTGATTTTCATCTGAAATGTCATGTGGTTTTTAATGCCTGTAAGTTTTTATTTCGGTGGCCTGGATGGGCTGCTGGCAGATAATTTCAAGAGCGTTTTTCCAACATTCAGTTTTTTTTCCTCCCTTGCTTTTAATCTTACTTTGCATTTATGAGGAGGATTAGATTCGAGTCCCCTGGACCATTCCTTCCTCCCCTCTTGCCTGTCTCTTTGTTACTCAGTATTGGCAGAGTTTTGGTGACCAAAGTGTGCGCACTGTGCTAGGAGCTGTGTACGTCCTGGCAAATGTGCCAGATTTTCCTTCTGTCTCTTGCTGCTCCATGTGCAGTTTCCTTTGCTCCTTGTGCTGTGTCTGCGTTTCATCTTTCCTTTTGTCCTGTCTTTAGCGCTGTCAGAGTTTGTTTTCCTATGGGCTTTCCTACTGTTACACTGGGCAGTGTCATTTGCTCAAGTAGTGACTGGAAAGAGGGAGTGGAAAATAGCCCTCCTAAACACTCTTAATTCTGTCTGTTGAAGAAATCCAGAAGAATCAGTGTTATCCGCTTGTAGCACCGAACAGTAGACTTGGCAGCTGATGTTTACCTTGGGAAAGGACATATTAAGCAAAACGCATTTCCTCCAAGTAGCTTAACACATAAACTGATAACTTTTGCTGTAACTCTTGATTGCTGAAATTGCTGAACAGCTAGCCATGCCTTTTTTTTTTAATTAAGTTAATATTTTGTTTTATGAAGTCGCAGATTGCCTTGTTCCACATGTTGAAGATGCAGAGGTTCATAACCAGACGTACAGGACTGGCGATAAGCTCATAATCAGCTGCCACGACGGCTTCCAGATCCGTTACCCTGACTTAGACAACCTGGTTTCAGTGTGCCAAGATGATGGGACATGGGACAATCTGCCCTTTTGTCAAGGTTTAGTACACCAGAACATGCTCTTCTATAGCTCATGCGTCTCCTCATAGTTTGCTGTTATGCTTTTTCTGCAGCTGTAAGGATATCAGTGATCTTCTAAGCCAAACTGTGCAGTATTTGAATAGTGCTAACTTCTTTTGGATTTCCCCTTCCCACATTGCTCACTGCAGGAAAGAAGATGCCACCATCTCCACCTATTACCTATGTTTAAAGCGTTACTTCTTTTTTTTTTTTTAATCTTTTTTTGCTATAATATGTCTAAAATTTGTCACAGACATTTTGCATTTTAAAAATAAGCCAAGGCTAAATTCTGTCCAGAAGTTCAGCAAAAGATCTTATGGAGAAATAGCATTTTTGCACCAATTAACAATGGAAAGAATTGCAGCTTCCTTGGACCTCCGCCTGCCCTGTAGCAGAGCCACAATCTGTCCCCCTTTAGACCTGTAGGCCATGAGACCCATAGTTATTGCCTGAAACTTCTGGGTTTGAACATCCGTTGCTGCTATTCAACTGCTTTTAAAACTGCTTTTAAAAATAGATGCAGTGCCAGTAGAAGTCCCCAAATCCACTGCGCAGCGTCCTGCGAGGTGCCCCCAGGCTCGTCGGCTTGGTGCCCCCATAGGCTTATGGCAATGGGCACCTATGTCCGTGTCCTCTGCGGGCTCCTGCTGGTGGCAGAGTTACTCCTTAGGGATGAACACTGCTGTAACGCAGCTCCTGTTCATCTCACAGCATTATTTGTTATTCCCTGACTGCAGCCATCTTCCCTCAACGTTGTTAAAATTAAAAATCAGTAGTATTAATTAGTACCAAGAGGATCATGAGGATCATTTCTAAGGGCATGAGTAAAGTGCTTTTTTATTATTATTTTTTTTATTTTTTCATGTAGTACAAACTGTTTATCTAAATCTCATGTCAAAACAAGCTCAGAATATAGGCGGATAATGAGTCAAAAAAATGATGTCTGCATTCCCTGTTGTTCCTCCTCCATACTGCACCAAACACCGTGGGTGACCATTTAATGGTCAGGGGTCAGTAAGGCCTGTGGTACAAATCCCGCAGAAGTAAAACAGGTTCATTCCCAGGTAGCCTCTGACCACTTTTAAAGTTACGGGTGGCAACAGGTCCCTTCTTTTAACCAAATCCAAGCCCACTTCCAGGGTTTCTCATGTAAGTACTTAGAGGAAGTTACAGCCCTTCAGACTTTCTTCAAATTCATTAATTCCACCTGAAAATCTTGCACTGTTGCGCACCCTTTGGCATGGCAGCAGTTTTAATATTAAAGCTGGTTTATATGACTCTCTGTGTTTAAGAGGGGAGCTGTAACTCATGGTTTATATAAATGACAATCTTTATTTATTAAAGACTCTGCCTCAGAGTGAAACTGCCATCTGCCAAACCAGCAAATGTTTGTGCAACAAAACCCCATCATTTCCAGGAAAGCTGCCTCAAATTTGCTGCGAGCCCTGCACTAGCAGCAGTGAAAGCATCTCTAAGCCACAGAGGCATCCAAGGCCGGACCGGTGTGTCCAAGGGGGCCGTGGCATCTGTGCCCTCGGCGCGGAGGAATGAACAGCATCGCGCTCCTTAGCTTAGGAACGGGGCAGAGCAGGCTGTGTTGAGACGACTCCGATCAGCGCGTCGTAATAAAAGATGCCTCCCTCTTCTTAATTTGCAGGTTGCCTGAGGCCGCTGGCTCTTCCTCATAGTTACGTTAACGTATCGGAGCGGGAGTCCTCCTTCCCCGTGGGAGCAGTGGTGTATTACCAGTGCTTCCCCGGCTACAGACTGGAAGGGGCCGCGCTCCTTGAGTGCATGTATAACCTAATCTGGTCAGATAGCCCACCTAGGTGCCTTGACGTGGAAGGTAAACCTCCTCTTGTTGCTTCCTTCTGCTTTGGAGCTTGCAAATTTTGCTTTGCATTTTGCTTTCATTTTAACTCAGGGTGGCCGCTAGGTGTAATATTTGCACAGGCCGTGCCGCGCGTGTCCATCGGGCTTCGCGCGGCTCATAGCTGCTCATGTCTCCTACGAAGCGTGTGCTCCGATGGTGTCCTGAGCACAAGGGCTGAAGTTATTAATGGCAGTCGCTGCTTTGCCTGCAAAATGCAAGTTTTTTGCTGCTTTTCTAATAAAAATATGGTGGGGGTTATAGAATGCACATTCACAAGCAGATGGGCTGAGTATCTCTAGATATGGATATAAATCCTCTTTCAACCAAAATAATATTCTGTACTGACTTATTTGGGGGTGTCAGGGTGCAAACATTGCTCAGTGCCACATGATGTTGCATTCTTGAGTACTTGTTGTCTCTTGGGGTAGTTAATCTTAAAGAAAGATTTGCAGCAAAAGGGACTGAGTTATGAGTATGGATTTGAGCCATAAAGTCTGGAGGTGAAGGTCACCTCTTCAGCAAGAGCAATTCAGGAATGGAGCCGAGTGTGGGAATAGGGGGATATTGCCATATATTTATATTTGCATTCGATGCATCTAAAACAAAGATACCAAATAGACTGCCTACTCCATATGTCAGCAAATCCCTGTAAACTACCTTCTGCCATCTTCGCAGCACATCTTGAATAAAGCAGCCCAGGAGGTTACCAGATTCCAAATACATCCTTTCTGCTCATACCTCTAAAAGGAGTCTGTTTGTGCTCTGTTTCAAGCCTGTATGCTAGATATCTGTATGTAGCATCTAGTCAAAGCAATTATAGTGATATATCTACTGCTTATGTCACTTAGCTGAACACTGAGCATTCTTGGAGTGCAGGAATTTGCCAGCAGCATCAACAAAGTGAGACATGACTCAAAAGTAATAAAACGATTCTTACTTTTAATTGACAATTAAATTTCCAAAATTCAAAAATGCCTCTACAATTTCCGGATGAGATAAAAGAGAGATAGTTTTTTTTTTTTTTGGTGAGCACACACATAAAAATTTAAGCATAAATCAGCTCTATGTAATCCATTTTTGAGAGGGTTTATGTGTTATTTTGTATAGCACAGAAAATTAAAACTTAAAATAATTAGAAAGGCCCTGTTAGACTTAATCAAAGCAATATAACCATTACGCAAATTGAATACAAGTCATCAATCAGGAAGGTAAGAAAAACACAGAAACTCAAGCATATGAATAGAAGATGTTAAACATGAGCATCTCTCCTTC